AGTCCTCGGATGTAGAAGTGCTCCTTTTAGCAGAGGGCCATTGGAACAGAAGACTATGCTGCAGAGTGACAGTCTGGGCACATGCCATGTAGAACCCTTTAAATCTGATAGCAATAGAGATGCAGCCGTGTTAGTCTAGTCTAGCTGAAACAAAAAACGGGACTATGTAGCACTTTAAAGACTAACAAGATGGTTTATTAGGTGATGAGCTTTCGTGGGCCAGACCCACTTCCTCAGATCAAATTGTGGAAGAAAACAGGCATGACCATATATACCAAAGGAATACAATAAAAAAAAAGTGAACACATATAAAAAGTACAAATCAAATTTCAGAACAGAGGGGGGATGGGGGGGGAGGTAAATGTCTGTGAGCTAATGATATTAGAGGTAATAATTGGGGAAGCTATCTTTGTAATGGGTAAGATAATTAGTGTCTTTGTTAAGACCCAGGCGTAAAGTGTCAAATTTAAGCATGAATGACAGTTCAGAGGTTTCTCTTTCAAGTTTGGTGTTAAAATGTCTTTGAAGCAGTATGCAGGTAATCAAGTCATTGAGACAATGCCCTTTCTGGTTGAAATGGCAAGAAACTGTTTTTTCTTTGTGATACTGTCTGATATCCGTTTTGTGTGCATTGATTCTTTGGCAAAGTGTCTGAGACGTTTGTCCAATGTACATAGCATACGGACACTGTTGGCACATGATGACATAAATTATATTTCTAGATGAGCAGGAATATGTGTTCTTGATCTTATAACTGAATTGGTTAGGTCCAATAATGGTGTCAGCAGAGTAAATATGTGGACAAAGCTGGCAACAGGGTTTGTTGCAAGGAAAAGTTCCAGGGTTGGTATTAGTGTGGTATGTCCTGTGGTTGTTGGTAAGAATCATCCTGAGGTTAGGTGATTGTCTGTAGGAGACTATGGGTCTGTCTCCCAGAGCCTCTCGGAGTGTAGTATCCCGTTCTAGTCTAGATTGTAATTTATTGATAATGTGTTGGGCGGGTTTAAATTGGGGGCTATAGGTGATGACAAATGGTGTTCTATTGTTGGTTTTCTTGGGTCTGTCTTGAAGTAGATGGTTTCTTGGTATTCGTCTGGCCTTTTCAATTTGTTTTTTTATTTCTCCAGGTGGGTAATTGAGGTTTATAAATGCGTGGTAGAGATCCTGAAGTTTCTGGTCTCTGTCAGTGGGATTAGAGCAGATGCGGTTGTATCGAAGGGCTTGGCTATAGATGATGGGTTGTAAGGTGTGTTCTGGATGGGAGCTGGAGGCATGAAGGTAACTGTATTTTTCTGTAGAGAGTGGTGTCTAATTTACATTGGTGATTTGTACTGTGGTATCCAGGAAATGGATCTCTCATGTAGAATGGTCCAGGCTGAGATTGATGGTTGTTAAAATCTCTGTGGAATGTCTCCAGTGTTTCTTGGCCGTGGGTCCAGATCATAAAGATGTCATCGATGTAGCGTAAGTAGAGAAGGGGTAAAAGAAGTAAAATCTGATAACATTCTAATCACAGCAGAATACGTGACCTAGCTGCGTTTACCCAAAACCCTAAAGTGACATTGCTGGGAGAGACTAGTGCTGTCGCTCTTATAATCAATTCTTATGCAGTCTGTGTCTTCAGTATTTGCTTTTTAGAAAACTCAGAGACCTGGCTACGTTACCATAGTAACAGCATGAGATGTGAGCTCTATCTGCAGTCTAGGAGGTTCTTGTGCATTGTTGTAGGGGGACTATTCAGCAGTCTGTCTTTGAACACCAGAAATTGCATGTGTGTTTCAATAACTGAAATGTTTGTTTAATATGAATTTTCAACAAGTGACACATATATTGATAGGGAGATTTACTAGATTTTCCTTGAAAATGAAAATATGAGAAAAGAAGAACCAGAGATCAAAGCTCTTTTTTTTCAGATGCTAGGGACCAAAACTGGTTGGAACTTAAAACTATCACTGCTCAATCTGATCAGCAATGTTTGCTGACAATGGTCTAGAACGGAATATTTCAAGTTACAGAGTTTAATTCCCCAGGGATTAATGGAAATGGTACTTCATAGCCTATGAATTCTCTTGAGCTCAACAGATAACGTTAAAATCATTTAGTCCTTACATGGCAAAAAAGTAACAAGTATTATCACACAGGACCATTGACACAAGTGGATTTATTGACCATTATATTTTCATCTTATTGGGTGGGAGGAGGCATGTGGAGGGAGCCCAAGCTATTACTGCCACTGCCTATGATGTGGACACTCATAGCCCTTCAAGCTTTGACTCCATTAGCCAACACTACACTCATTTAAATATTCAAATTAAAGCTGTCAAGCAATTAAAAATTAATAATGATTAATTGCACTGTTCAGTAACAATAGAATACCATTAATTTAAATATTTTTGAATATTTACATTCAAATATTCTACATTTCAAATATTGCTACATTTTCAAATATATTGGTTTTCATTAAAACACAGAATACAAAGTGTACTCTGCTCAGCTTATATTTATTTTTATTACAAACATTTGCACTATACAAAAACAAAAGAAATAGTATTTTTCAGTTCACCTAATACAAATACTGTGGTGTAATCTCTTTATCATGAAACTGAATTTATAAATGTAGAAGGACAAAAAAATCCCTGCACTCCAACAAAACAATGTAAAACTTCAGAGCCTATATGTCCACTCATTCCTATTTCTTGTTCAAGTTTGGTTACAATTTGAAGGAGATAATGCTGCTTAGTTCTTATTTACAATGTCACCTGAAAGTGAGAGCATGCTTCCAAATCCTGAGAGGAAAGTGGGAGAAACACTGTAGCTCTCCGTATGCTATTATTGTGAAATTAGGATTACCATATTTGAACTTTCAAAAAAAGAGGACACTCCTGAGAGGCAGTATATCTGTATCAGTATCTGCCAACTGAGGGGCTGTGTCTAGACTGGTCAGTTTTTCTGGAAAATCAGCCGCTTTTCCAGAAAAACTTGCCAGCTGTCTACACTGGCTGCTTGAATTTCCGCAAAAGCACTGACTTCCTACTGTAAGAAATCAGTGCTTCTTGCGGAAATACTATTCTGCTCCCGTTCAGGCAAAAGTCCCTTTTGCGCAAAGCTTTTGCGCAAAAGGGCTAATGTAGACAGCTCAGATTTGTTTTGCGCAAAAAAGCCCCAATCGCAAAAATGGCGATCGGGGCTTTTTTGCAGAAAAGCGTCTGTGCCAATCTAGACGCTCTGTTCTGAAAATGCTTTTAATGGAAAACTTTTCCATTAAAAGCATTTCTGGAAAAAATCATGCCAATCTAGACGCAACCAGGTTGTATTAATGTAACACATTAATATAACCTGAGTTGATAGATACTGATACAGATACACTCCCTCTCAGGAGTGTCCTCTTTTTTGAAAAAAAATTACAACTCAAGGGGCTAAGGGTTAGTATTTTTGAAATTTCAAAACTCTAGAGAGGGTGTGGTAAAATCCATTATCAAAGGAAGATTTTCAAGGGACAAAGACAGGTCTCTGAAAAACTGGGATAGTTAAAAAAAAATTACCTGTTGTGTGGCTATTGAAACAAATGAAAATATAACTACAGAAAGATACTAAGTAGTAACAATATTTCATGTCAGGGATAGCAGTGGCATGGGGAGGAGTCACATGAGGACGAGGCAGGTGATCCTCCCCACTACTTGCCTATGCCCCCAAGACCTGTCCAGGCAACACCTCTTCCCCAGGTCCCACTCCCATGCTGCCCCAACCCCCATTTGTTCCTCTCTGTCTCCACCCCTACTCCCCCTTATGACCATTCAGTAAAAAGTGGGAGGTCATAACTCGGGGGAGTTGAAGCAAAATGCAGGACAATGTAGCACTTTAAAGACTAACAAGATGGTTTATTAGATGATGAGCTTTCGTGGGCCAGACCCACTTCCTCAGATCAAATAGTGGAAGAAAGTAGTCACAACCATATATACCAAAGGATACAATTAAAAAAAAGAACAAATATGAAAAGGACAAATCACATTGCAGAACAGAAGGAGGAGGCGGGGGGGTGGGAAGGGGGAGGAAGGAAGGTAAGTGTCTGTGAATTGTGTTTGTGAGTTAATGGTATTAGAGGTGATAATTGGGGAAACTATCTTGGTAATGGGTGAGATAGTTCAAATGTTTGTTAAGTCCTTGTTGGAAAGTGTCGAATTTTAACATGAATGACAGTTCAGAGGATAACTCGGGGGAGACCAGTCACCCAGTTCTAGGAATCCTTTGTCCTTCAATATATTAACTAATGGTGTATTCTCTGCACCCTTTGCCACCCCAGCATTTATCCCTTTCCCAAACTTATTTACACTGAGCAGCACTGCGGGACTCTGCTATTTGCCTCTCTCCACGCTGAAACCCAGCTACCTTCCTATTCCTTCCTACCCAGTGCGCCCTCGTTCTTAATCCGGTACTGAGCCACCCGAGGACCCTCCCCTCTTGTTCTAGACCATGACTGACTGCTTTGCTAAAGAGCCTTTGCTCGGGGACTTTGCCCAAAGGAAACCAAAACCATTGGCTCACCTGGACCATGTGTTGGCTGCCCTCCCCCCTTCCCAAGGAACTGGACTAGATTCTGTCCAGGCAGCGTTGCCTTGGCTACTTCCAGAGACAGCTCTTGGGTGATAAACAGCCGAGCTTTTCAGGAGCTGCAAAGCAGCAAACCAGGATTGTGCTGCCCAAGCTCACAAGGGAGCCCAGGCCGGGATTGGGGGACGGGCGTGGGAGGCGAAGCGTAAATCGCGCTCAGCCTGTTGCGGGAGCCTCGCACGAATCTGGCCAGGCAGAGAACGGAGCACGGGAAGTGTTCGGCGCGGGGAGAGTTGCCTAAACTCCGCGCTGCTGATTCAGCTCCTCACTAGCGTGACCCGCCCCCGTCATATGACAAGGGGCCGCGGCTTGGGACGAAGCAGAGCCGGGGGCGGGGGGCCGGCGGCCGGCCCCGGGGGGGGGACCGCGA